CAAAAGGTAGTCAAAGATGCAGAATTACGAAAAGCACTTAGAGAAAAATAATGTACTTTAATTTGTGTAATATGTAATCATAAAAATTAATGTACTTTAATTTGTGTAATATGTGATAAAAACACCAATGTGCTTATATGACTTATGAAATGTGTGTTATTTATCATTAGGGAAAGAAAACTATGGTCGAAGGTGTTGCAGCGTACACCAATCAAATGTTCATGTCACACAACCAAAAGTAATGTACTTTAATTTGTGTAATGTGATCATTAAATTAATGTACTCTAGTTTGTTTATTATATGATAAAACACCAATTTGATTATATGAAATATGAATATGTGTTATCTGTAATCGGGGAAAGGGAAAGGAACCTATGGCTGAAGCACCTTCAGGAGTACACCATTCAAATGTTCCTTCATACAAAGAAATGTAATGTACTTTTAATTTGTATAACATGTGATCAAAGTAATGTATTTTAATTTGTGTAATATGTGATAAAAACACCAATGTGCTTTATATGACTTATGAATATGTGTTAGTTATGATCAAGCCAAGGAACCTATTGCAAATTAATTAATACAAATCAGAAAATAATATGATGATGACAATCGTACTTTCAGGAAAAATAATCAAACATTCTTTAAAGAAATAATATTTTTAAGACAAAATTACATAAATGGTCCTCGTGGTTCACAAAATCGACCAATTATGGTTCTTATGACGAATTCTTTACACAGATGGTCCTTGTGGTTTCTAAATCTTGCAGAGACAGTCCTTTGGGCTAACGACGTTAACTTTTTCAGTTAAGTTCCATGTGAAATGACATATTTGTCCTTCCAGCATAGAGACCATTTATGTAATTTGTTCCTGCCATAGAGACCATTTATGTAATTTTCTCTATTATTTATTATTGCTCTTACTTAATTTATTTATATATTTTAGGATTTAGATATTTTTAAGGTTTTGTTTGAATATATTGTTTAATGTTTTTTCTTTTATATTTTTTTCGCTAATATTTTTTAAGGTTTTGTTCAAATTTTTATTTTTTTCTTATTTTTTGACGTTTTTCCAAATATATTTATTGTTGTTTTATGATGTTCTATTGAAATAATTTTTTCTAATTCTTTTACTTTTTGTCCTAATATATTTTTTAATGTTTTGATTAGCTTTTGGTTTTTTTTTAAAGTATTTTTTGAAAAATTTATAGTCACCGTAATCATAATTCGTAACTTACTTCACTTACAATCATTTTTTTTAAGTATAGATAAGGTTATATACTTATTATTTTTTATTCATATAGTTAACTATATAAAACATATAATGTTGTATGAGTATTATTTGTAAAGTTTTTTATGAACGTTTTTTGTAAAAAAAGTGTAAAAGGTTTGTTAAACTTGAATAAGATTAATATAGATAGGCTAATTGGAATACATATGATAATCGGAATTCAAAACGGGTGTCAGGTTATACATAGGCTAATCGAAATCCGTATAACTTAAAAATGCACAAAATGTCTAAAAACAAAAAAATTACTTGAAAACATTACATTTAAATCTAATATGAAACGAGCTGGTTGTTCTCGGTAAGGTTGTGAGGCGGTCTCAGCTTAGCCTATGTCTACCTAATCTTTATTAATCATATTCACATTTAACAAATATTTTACACTTTTTTTATAAACAATATTTATAAAAAAGTTTAAAAAATAATAATTATACAACCTTATATTGTTAAATAATTGAATTAAAAAATAATAATTATAAATCTGATAGAAGAAAAAAGAAAAATTAAAACATGATTGAAAGTGAATTAAGTTATGAATTATAATTACAATAGCCATGCAATCCTTTAACAAATATAAACATACTAAATGTTGAAAAATGTATTCGAACATAACGACAAAAAAAATCCATTAAAACGTCAAAATAAAAAACATTAATAAATATACTTGAAGAAAACATCAAAAAGATTAGAAAAAATAATTTAAGCAAAACGTTAAAAATGTTAGCATATATATATATATATATATATATATATATAATATATATATATATATATATATATATATATATAATATATATATAGGCTTAGGTTATTTTTGTTAAAGTAATTATTGTGTTATTGTATGCATAAATGTGGTCCAATCAAATTTACTTATTTTAAGAAAGTGATTAATATATATTATTGAATTAAATATAATTGAAAAATCATCTTAATTAATTACAAAGGTAATTTAGAGTAGTCAATTAATATAGATTTCCTGAAGGAAATTGCATTTTTTAAGGGATCATAGATTCTATTAATTTTAAAAATCCGATTTTCGAATTATAATTCTTTTAATTCGGACATTCTGACAGAATATGTTATGAGTATATTCAAAAATAAAAAATATTCTTGAACCATAAATAATAAAAATATTCTTGACCTATTTCTTGATGATGACTTTAAAAATTTCTTGAAGAAAACAACTTCTTGTAGAATAACAAAATCTTGAACAATCAATTGAAGAATAAAACAAAAAATACATTATTTCTTATAGAATACGGGTAACAATTGTTAAGAATTACATTTATTCTTAAAAGAATAAAACTAAAAAAACAATCAAAAAGGGGAAGAAAACATCAAAATCTAACAACGACTAATACATTCTAAAAGAATAATGTGGTCCGTTCTTCAAACATCAACTTCTGTGATTCCAACAGAATTGGAATTCGTCATTCCATTCCAATAGAATTGGAATCTCACCAATATCATCCATTGAATCATCTACATAAATGAAAAGAATTATTCCAAGATTCACAATGTACAAAAGCCAAACAGGATCTGAAATAACAAAGAAAATATTAAGCCAACAACAAATTTATGTAATTGTGAAATACCAAATGCAAGTAAAAAATCACTTGGGCAGGATACAGCTGACCTCCTGTAACATATTGTATGTCACCTTCCTTCTTTAACAACAAAATCGATAAATAATGTTTAAAATATATATGAGAAAATGAAAGAAAAACCATTGAAATATGAATTTAAAACCTTAAAACGGTTTCTTGAGCTTTTGTTAGTTCTTTGACATTTTATGGTAAACCCATTGAAGTCTGAATTGAGTCCACCGAAGTAGTCCTGTTTTCAGAAATGGCATAACGAATTACAATCAGGACCTGTATACTAAAAATAATGGATAAAATGAGTGAAACTATGAAAGACATTGCATTGTACCCATTAGGTTCACTGAGTCGAAATGAAAACAACACTTAACAATGTCTTTTTAGTATAATAAATCCAGAAAGGTAAGAAACTTGCCATGATTTATGAATTCAGGCTCGATGATGTTGCTTCCAGTGCCACTAAAGCGGCTGAGACTATAAGTCGATGTACAGATACTGATCTCGATTTCGCCTCTGATCGTTTCAACGGATTCGGAATCTGGATCGTCGGGGTCGATTCTGGACCTATCGAGAACTGAATCTGCGGGAAGAATTATCTCTTGGGCGTAAGAACCCACCTCCAGGCTTGTGTAATCCACGACATCTCCAACTTTGCAGAAATAGGTTCTTATTGAAAAAAAAACGCAGAAATCGACACAGTAGAACCGTAGACGATGGGGGAAGAAATCGACATTCGAAGTAAGGAAGAAGACGTGATGATTAGTAAGGAAGAAAGGGAGAACATCGATTACCACCACCAAGACCACCTCTGTTCGATGCTTGATCGCTCGATTCTTCCCTCTCCCGATATATGAAGAAGACGATGAAGGGTCGCTGGTGTCGATTTGTTCAATTTAGGGTTTTCAGAATCGGTTTTTAGATAAAGAGGAGAACGAGATTTAAACTGGAGAGATACCATGATTATAGGGATTATTTTTGGAATTTATTAAGCAAATTACTAAATTACCCTTATTTATTTAATTTTTTAATTTTTTATTTAATTTTGATTGGCCCACATTTATGCATACAATAACACAATACTTAGTTAAAACATTTGAACCTAGCTCTCTCTCTCTCTCCTCCCACTCTCCCTCTCCTCTCCTCTCCATCTCTCTCTATCTCTCTATCGATATATATATTATATATATATATATATATATATATATATATATAGATATATATATATAGCTTAAACAATATATTAAACAAATCTTAAAAAAATTAAAATCCTTAAATATATAATTAAATTAAGTAAAAACAATAATAAATAGTAGAGAAAATTACATAAATGGTCCCTGTGGTCGGAACAAATTACATAAATTGTCCCTATGCAGAAAGGATAAATATGTCAATTTACATAGGACTTAACTGAAAAAGTTAACAAAACACGTAGTCAAGGACCGTCTTTGCAAGATTTTTAAACCACAGGGACCCTCTGTGTAAAGAATTTGTCATATGGACCATAATTGGTCGATTTTGTCAAGAGGACCATTTATGTAATTTTCTCTATTTTTAAAAATTAAAAAGAAAACAATTTAATTAGAAAAACAAAACAATATCATTATGATTATGCACAACCAAATTCATAAGATTACAAAAAATATTGTAAATGTATTCCACACTATTCAAGATGAGTTAAAATAGTGATGTTCTATAACACTTTTTGTTTTTTGTAACATGTTATACTTGATTTTAAGTTAATGACCTATTTTGGAGATTTGACTACATAATAAAATTAAAAAAGAAAAAATGAAACCGTCTAGTGTTAAAATCTCGGGATGATAAGATCTCAGAATTGATCTTGTTTCATGTAAATCATAGTATGGTTGAGATCGTTAAACATCATAAGATCAATCAAAATTCGGATCTAAAGAAGGATGATCACCACAACTAGCAATAAGTGATTGTTTTTTTGACAATTTTTTTTACTATATTATTTGTATTTTAATAAATTGTGTGGGATAATTTCAAAATAAAAATTTAAAGAAGAGCAGAAGGGCAAAAACATATACAGTACATGATACATTGATAGATTGATTAATCAGCAAATAGGAAAACTGAAAATTACATAATCAAAATCAAAAGAAGTTGGGATCATATCCATTGCTGGACGTGGCTAAGATGTAGTAAGCCACGATGTGTCCAATCGAGCCCCAAGCAAGAACATCCACTATGTTGAATCCCACCGGATCATTCGACTTCAGAAGGCTCACATACTCCTTGGCACGACTATCTCCGGCCTCAAAATGGGTAATTCCGTTCTGCTCAGGCAACCCTTGCTTCGCCACGTTCTCTCTCTGGAAGTTGAAAAAAACAAATCTTCCCAAGAAAAGAGATAACCCGGTGCTCAGGCTGATAACGAGAGATGGGTTCAGCAGCTCCGCCTTCACTCCGCAGTTGAATTTCTTCTTTGGGGCGATGGATACAGTGGGTTTCGTGAGGAAGAGGGAAGGGGAATCGGCGGCCTTGTTGAGTGGCCGGAGGCCTTGGAAGGTTGGTGCAGACAAGAAGGCAGAGGCCATGGTTACAAAGTGTAAATGGAGGATTAAAGATGAATAAAGCAGGTGGATGAGGTTGAGGGGGATATATTAGCCTTTGTGGAGGAGAAAAAGATGATTGTGAGGAGGGAAACCAGGGAAGAAAGATTTTAGGGTGTTTAGGTGGCGTTGTAGTATTGGTTCATTTCGGATATGAGATACTTGCCAATCCACTTTGCTGGTACTAACATTACGATTAAATAATTAAAACTACATTAAGAAGCACCAAGGATCCTTGGCGCAATGGTAGCGCGTCTGACTCCAGATCAGAAGGTTGCGTGTTCGATTCACGTAGGGTTCAATTCCCTGAATTGTTTATTTTTCGTCACTTATACGTTATATGGCATTCTAGTAAATTGTTAATCTATTCTAGCAAATTGTATATTAATTATCTAATATAAATCGTATATTAAAGAAAGAATAAAAAATAAGTTAATTGTATATTAATTATCTAAATTGCAGGGAAAACTGCAAAAAAAAATCTTACATATTCGTCTCATAATCGATTTAGTAATTATATCTTTTTTTTTGTATTCAATTAAGTCCTAAAAACCGGTAATCGTATTTAATTTAAACATTTTACCCGATCAACATTTTATCGAACTTTCAAAAATTATACTTTTGGTCCAGATTTATTTTTTTTTTTACAAATTCTGTCCAAAATTTATATTTTTAACCCGAATTTTAAAACTTATTACAAACTTGGTCCAAAATTTACTCTTTTGGCATAGATTTCAGAATTTTGTTATGAATTCATCATAACTTTAGTTTTTTTACAACTTTTTTCTCAAAAAAAATTTTGAATTTGTTTTTTCATTAAAAAAATCATATTTATACAAAAAAAACATAATTTCATATAAAAAATCTTATGTTTTCTATATAAAAACTTTTTTTAAGAACGTTTTTGTATACGAAATACCTATTTATAAAAATAGGTATTTATTAATTACATAAATATACAAAAATCCGTTTTTATAAAAAAAATATACAAACACATATTTTACAAAAAAATATATATACAAACACCTATTTTATTATAAATACATATATATTCACACACACACACACACACACACATATATATATATATATATATATATATATATATATATATATATATATATATATATATATATATAAATATGTGTGTGTGTGTGTGTGTGTTTGTGTGTGTGTGTGTGTGTGGGGGGGGGGGGGGGGTAAAGTCATTTTGTATAGTAAAATCAATTCTTTTGAAGACTGCATCTATTGATCTAGGAAATATAACATTGATATGCATGATCCGTTGTATTCAATTAAGAAACTTTACCACATCCGGCGCAAAGAAACCAAACGTATCAAACGCAAATGATATGAACACTTGTTGATTTCCATGCATGATTTCTTACGTTTTGTGATCTTGCATGTAACAACTTTTAAGACAGTTTGTCTAACCTTGAAACCCCCAACCTTGATATGGATACCCTTGTAAGGTCCACACATACGTGTTTCCTTCTAAACCATCCAAAAACCAAAGTTTGACAATGTTCAATAAAAATCATCAAAGTTTGACAATGTTTTCTATGTCGATCACTATGACATGCTATAACAGATTAATGTAACCGTGATAGAAAAAATTATCAAAGTTTAATAAAATATTCTAATCCATATTAAATATTTTGACGAAATTTTCTATTCTATTAAAATCATTAGACTTTGACAACGTTTTTTTTAATAATTATGACCACTATAACTTGCTTTAATAGATAATAGTGGTTGCCATATAAATAAACTTATTTGGTTTTTATCAAGGTTGCAAAAAACGTTAGACGTTAGCTAGTCGGTGGACTGGGGTCTAGGGATTAATCAGCTAGACAGAGATTAATCGGGGGATTAATCGGGGACCATTAAATATTAAGAAAATTATTCAAAAATTTATAAATCTAACTTTAATCGTAAGAATATAAATAAATAAGCATAAAAGTTTAATAATAAGTTTAACAAGCAAAACAATTTATCATCCAATTAATAAGAAAAGTTATTCAATTTTTAATATATATTAAGAAAAGAAGTAAATTTGGGTATTTGTATATTTGAAAACATAGAAATTTTGAAAATTTTGGAGAAAAACTTTAAAATTTAATTTTTATTTTTTTTATATATTAGTTGAATATTGAAATACTATAAACTTTTGAAATTTTGAAAATTTTGGTTTAATATTTAAAATTTTGAAATTTTGAAATTTTGGCCGATTAGGCCGTCTAGGACCGATTAGGACCGCCTAGGACCGATTAGAACCATCTAGCTCCGACTTTGACTCCTTTTGACCAAAACCGATTAAGCCGACCGATTAGCCTTAATCCTGTTCGGTTGAAGACCGTCTAGCGATTAATCCCCGATTAATCGGCCGCCTAAACTGATTTTTACAACACTGGTTTTTATTGAACATTTGGATTAATAAAGGTTAAACTTCAAAAAAAAAAAAAGACTAATATATATCCAAAATAATGAGTTTAGTAGTGGTAAAAAGGCAGTTTTTCTTGTGTATTTGCCATACAAAAAGAAAATGATTTATTTGTAATGTAAAATTCACATATAGCCTTGAAAAGTCAAATAGTGAAAAGTCAAATAGCCTTTTTCCACTATGTTGACGTTCTTTGGATATTTTTATTAATGAGAACTAGGTTACAACCCGTGGAAACCATGGGTTAAAAATTTAGAAAAAAAATTATATTATTAATAAGAGTTAAGTTTGTTTAGCATTTGTTGTATTGATTATTTAAAATTTAAAATTAATATTAATATAACTTTGTAAAAAAGATTATAAATTTGAATATATGTTAAAGAGAAACACAATTAATCCTTGCAAAGGTAAATATGAAGATAACTAAAATGCATCTTTCAATTATCTCTTTTATAAGAAGAAAAGTTATTATAAAGTGATATTTTATTCTTGTTTATAGAATTTAGAATAATAATAACAACAGTAACACCAAAAATTAATAATGTGTTGAAACCAAGATTATGTTGTTGGAAGTTGGGTTCACTGATCAATAGACAAAATGACAACTCGACCGGAACCTGAAGATATGTTTTGAGAAAGAGAGGAAATGTGAGAACATAATCTAAGTGTTTGATAGCTAGCTAGCGTTGTGGTCTAGAATTCTTTTTGGTGGTATACCATTACAATGGAAGTTATATATATATATATATATATATATATATATATATATATATATATATATATATAAAATAATATGTTGGTCTTTGTAATATATAGAAGATAAGTTAAGTTCAAAATCCCTAGCTAGTAGCTAATTAATTTGGTTTGAGTGGGTATCTTATCTTTGGTAGCAGCAGCAGCCGCTTGCTTCCTCTTCTTCTTCTTCTGTACAGTTGGTTGTCTACATTAATAATCTACAGACACATGACACATGACACATGACACATGCCATGTTTGTGTTTGTTTGAGGCTTGAGGAGAAAAAAAATGATAGGATACAGGACGAAAATCAAATTAGGGAATCCAAGTAAGAGTAATTGTGTCTGCGGCCAAACTCGAGGAGACTGCCATACGTGCGATCCCATACTCCTATGAAAAGGGAGTCGGTATCGGGACTGAATGAAGTGCCGGATATCTCACCAAAAAAATCAATTTCCTGTTCCTTGTCATAACAGCCGCCTCTGACATCAAACACATGAACAAAGTCAGCAGGTTCTGCCATTGCCATGAAGCGACCATCTGAGGAGTAACGGATGGATCTAATGGCTCCAAGATTGGCTTTTAACGCGGTTACGGATTTTGATACGTGTCTGATATCCCAAATTCTGCAGGTTTTGTCCTGGTTCCCTGTTGCAAACCCATACCCATCCGGATTCCATGCTGATGCAAATGAGAAATCCAAGTGTCCGTGCAAGGATGCAACCGTCTGCATCCATCATATTTTTCATGCATTTATTTACCATATTACAAAATTTATAATTAATTAATTGACTCTATTACTTACCTTTCCGGAGCTCGAGTCCACCAACATTCCTTCAGGACTGTCTCCAACAATTATAAGAAGCTTTCCATCAGGGCTAATGGAAGTGTGCTGCATATCATATCATAAGTTCATAACACAATAACAAAAAATATCATGGAAACAACAATATCAAAGACAGCAAGAGAGGTAGATAGAGTACATTGACCGGCCAAGGAAAACGCAAGTGCTTAGTCATCTGAAAATTTTCCATATCGAATTCACGAACTCCACAATCATTGTTTGAGGCTGTAAAATGAACTGCACCACTGCATCATCATGGAACAATCAAGGTTGGTTCAGCACAACATAATACATAATACATATACCTTGGGGTAGTATAAATGTCCAGAGCATTAGTAATAGCATTATCATCGTAAGTTGTCCTCGAGCAGAAGCAAACTCCAGGTCTATCTAAATACTGCACTCATTAACAAGGAAATCTCATGTTTAGAATTATATAAAGAAACCATGTAATTATGTAAACCTAGATCTTGCCTTGCATATAAGTTCTCCTTGGAATCCTCCAGCAACTAGCAAATTATCTTTTACTGCCATTGTGCTAACTTGGGTCTGAGTAAATCCCTCCAGTAGACTTCCAGGGTGTTTCTGCAATATAATATATTTTTCATTATTTCAAAAGTAAAAAACAATCAAATCAAACCCCTCTGCACATCATGACTCACCTCACATGGTGCCACATGCCCTGATACATTAAGGACTTCAGACTTGTTGCAAGTTAAGGAGGACCAATGGATGACAGAAAAATGTGACATTAGGTACACATCATGCTTCGATGTAGCCCATACTAGGTTTCTCAACTAAATCACCAAAAAGAATGAATGTTATGAATAAAATCACCAAATTAGGCTTATTTCATTCCAATAAATACCTGAAAGTGAAGTATTGTCGATTTTACAGATCTTGAATTCCGTCTGAAGTCGTAGTACAGGCCTGTTTTGTTGGTGACTTTGCATGCCTGAAT